ACAGCCCTATTTGTAGTAACGTCACATTTGTTTGCCGCCACTACTTTCACGACATCCGGAGAAGCATTCTGCAAAGAAAAAAAGAACAAAGAATTTTTGTTCAATCGAAATTCGGGAATTTACGCTTTCATTTCTTTATTTTTATGGAATTTATTTTAAGAATAAATTTATTAAACGAAATATTATCTCGTATTCTTACTTCTTGAATATTTCGTAGCCAGTAGGATAAATGATTGAAACTTTCTAAACTAGTGACGTCGTACATCAGAAGGATACCCATAGCACCACGATAATAAGCTGTTGTTAGCGCTCTAAATCGCTCTTGACCAGCAGTGTCCCTTAAGAAGTCGATAATATATTAATAATAGTACAATTAATTATATATCAAGTTAATATATGCAATGATTGTATTTGGCAGTAAATTTATTATTATTATTATTATTATTATTTTATCAAATATAGTTACTGTATTTGATATATTTATATCAATGTCACCAATTAATTATACCGTTTGAACTTGTAATCCTTGAAAATAAATATTTTTAATTGATTCATATTAAATAGTTAGATATTAATGCATTCATATTACAAAATATATATGTAGATAATATATAGATAATATATAGATAATATACCGATAGAAATATATATTGAAGACAACTTGTTGGATTTTCCATTTTTTCGATTTGCAAAATTGATTGCAATGATATCTCTATATTTATCATCGTGTCAGATATTTTAAAGAGATAACAACGTATATTGGAAAATTGTGAGTTATATTTAAATAAAAATACTTGCACTATAATAACATTTAATTACTTTGTAAAATAATAGAATTTTATTTATTCTTATTAATGGATTTTTTTAATATTTAAATGTTATAACTATAGTTACAATAAATAGAATATTTTCACGTTAATATATAATACCATAGCTAATAATTATTCATAATAATTACTCATACATAGACTTTCATTTTATAATAAAGTTAACACAGAAACTTGTATCTTATTTACAGAATATGAAAATGCAAACGTTTAGATTGAAAATAATTTGATGTAAGAATTTAAGATTCATTTGTAAGAAGAATTGAAAATATAATATAAAAAAATCATAAATCTATAAATTTATATACTTTCTAAATTAATTAAAAGTTATAATCGATTATATTAATAGAAAATTAAATTATTTCAAAATATTTTATATATTTGTAATTATAAAAATATAAATATTTACACGAAATTCTATTTCATATTTATATAATAAATGAAATATAAAAATACAAAACTCACCAAATTTGAAGCTTAATTGGTGTTCCATCCAGGTTAATTATTTTTTGTTTGAATCGATACCTGTTGATTCATTATTCTTAAAAATCACAAAACAACTTTTTTTTTCAATAAATATGTAACGTTTATTAATTAAACATTACGCATATAAAACTATTTACGCATAACAGAAATAACATAATGATAAAAACAAAATTTATAAGATTTCGCGTTTTTAACAATAAAAATAAAAAGAATAAACTTTAAAAATTTAATATCACATATTTTAACAATTCAATGAATTTAATTCTATTGTACAAATAAGGAATATTATTGAAATTATATGTAAGATTTCTATCGAGAGAAAATTTCCCTGCAATCAGCTGATCGATGACGTTAAACAGATATTTCTTCAAAACATCACCATATGGTAATAATTTTTTTCAATTAAAATTATTTCACTTGTGACTTCTTGTCTTACATTCAAATATATATACATATACATGAATTAGTGTTGCATTGTGTTTTCGATAGAACATAAAATTTGAGGAAAAAGAATATCATGAAACAAAACATCATCAGACATTCGTATAACAAAGATATATATTTAGTGAATCTAACCAATGAACACAATAGTAATTTTCGGTAACAAGATTGTATCTAAAACAACAATATATGCTTGTCAACAAGTTACAGCTGAAGGATCGAAATAACATCAATGGCACAATTCGTCACGATCCTTTTTTTCTTAATTAAAATTATTTCAATTCTCGACGAACATTATCGTCAATTGTATCAATGCGATTTAATCAATAGCGATTATTCTATAAAACCGTTGTAAACAATTATTTACAACGATCCATCAGCTTATTAATTTTTAACTGTCAATATATTGAATACGAAACGCAATATTCGAGGATTTCAACGATGCGTCTCACCTATCGTTGATATGTAAGTATCGTAGTAACGTTCGTCACAATAACGGTGCACGATACAAGTTTTCCCAACGTTCGAGTCACCCAACACCAAAACCTTGTAAGTGGCTGCGAAATCCAGCGCCATGTTTGCTTTCAGAGCTTTTGAACTGTTGTTGGGTTGACAAGAGAGTCGTCGGCCGGCGGTTGTTCTTTGGATACTTTGGGGGTGGAGGATCGATTCGCGAAGCCTGCGCCTTTCTACGCGCCGCTAAAGCTGCTCTCACAATTGCAACTTTTCATCGATCATGCGCGACAACATTCGACGCAAAAAGAAAAAAAAAAATAAAAAAAAAGAAAAAAAAAATATGCAATGAAAAAGTGCAATGCAAAGTACAATCGATAGTTTACTGTATAAAATATTGTATGTCTATTTGTATGTGAAATTTAAATTTTTGTTCTGTGAAACTTGTTTTTATCCAATTTTTGACTGTTTCTTTACTTTATTATAAAAAGATAATTTATTATAATACAAGATTAAAAAAAATTTTTTCTTAAAATTATACTTGTTATTTTTTGGAATTTCTAAATTTATTTTTTCGAAAACATTAAAAGTATTAAAAGATAAAAATATATAAAATTTGTATGTGGTTATATTTGTAATTCTGGAATATAAAATTGAAGATTGATATAAGAGAATGCAATCTTATGTTATGATTGAAAAAAATAATATTGTTTTTAATGATTATATATATATACACACATATATGTAATTTCATATTATATAAAAATACAATAAATAATCTATTTGTATATAAGTGTGAATAAAGAATTTAGATTTTTAAAACAATGATATCATAAATTTATCTATGATAAATAAGGAAAATATGATAAAAAAGAATACAGAGCATTTTTTTATATTATTTTATTTACATATGTTTTATAATTCATAATTTCATCAAATAAAATACTAAGTTTTACAATTTTTCATAACATTTTTCAAATATAATATATAAATTCTCTATTGATTTATAGAATATATTAAAAATAAAATAAATTAGAATCTTAGCAATGCTTGAAGATCATTTAAACAAATAATATAAATTATCAACTAAATATCATTCAATGTTAAGTGTTGTATTAGCCATCTTCATAAATGTTTGATATGCCAAAAGTAAATACTGATAAATTATTGTACTTTTAGTAAAAACTATTTTTAAGTTTTAAAAAATCAATGTATATTCTAAATTGTATAATTGAGAGAAAAGTCTAAAATAATAAATTTGTAATTAAGTTAATAAATCTCTCAATTGATACTAAAAAAAAAAAAAAATAAATAAATAAAATTTTAAATTAAGTTATATTTAATAGGATAACACTATTTGCGTTTTTTTTTATAATTTTATCACTAATTGAGAATATTAAAATTAAAAGCTCTAGAATAGATTCAAATATTAGTTTGTTTTAGAAATACATATATGACAAAACAGAATATAATAAATTAAATTAAATTATTACATATTTATATTATATTTGCAATATTTGATTTCAATCTATACAATCGATAAATTTATAAATACTATTAGTATTTCGTATTTTGTAATAAAACAATTTTTAAATTAATTGTTTCATTATTAGTGCCGTTAAAATTTTTAATATCCTGCTATTTCTATTTGTAGAATTAATTCACACATATATAATATTGAGTCAACAATAGTAACGAAAATAATTCACATTGCATTTAGGCACTTTGTTGTAGCCTTATGTTCATTATCAAGAGCACTGCTCTTTAAGACTTTAATAATTACTTCATATATTCTTGTCGTTCATAATTTTCTCTTTAGAATTTTAACATATTTATACTTTTATTTTTAAGAAACGTTACGAACGTTATATATGATATGTTTCTTGTTCGTGTAATTTATATGTAGTTATTTTTTTTTTTTTACAATTCGCAAATGTACAATATTTTAAATAAATGTAAGATATACACACGCATAACATGTTATACAGTTTTTTGGTAGTAATAACTATAATCACAAAAATATATTGATAAATGTTTTAAAAATGAAAAAATGATTTTATTTTTACGTTAAATTTCTATAATTACTATGTATAATTAATTATTAGATATATATCAAAAAATAAATACATAATTTTACGATAAATTTACGATACTATTTATGGGAATTTATTTTGATTTAATTAATTGATTATTAAATTGATTTATATTGTTGTAAACATATTAAAAACAATTCTTTAATAACAAAATATATAATTTCATATTTAGGCAACTATAGTTCGTTTTTTGAGTATACATTATATTTTGATATCAAAAATTATTATTTAATTAATGTTATTAATTAATTATTCGTTTAAAAAAAGTAATTATAAATATGTTTATTTTAATATTTAAAAGATATAAATGATAATTGCAATCTTTCTATTTATATTTATCTATTTTGTTATTTTCTTATATGCATTTTGTTGTAAGATAAATTTGAATTTATTTAAAAAGAGAAAAAAATTAACAACTTAAAAGATATATTTTTTATAATAAACAACTTGTACTCTACAGGTATTTTTAAATAATACTAACAAAATAATTTTTTACTAATATTATGAGTTCTTTGAGTATATAAAATTGACAAGATAATAATGAAACCTATTTTTTTAACTTATTAAATTAAATTGTCTAACTAAATTTACTTTTAGCATAAATATTAGCACCATGAAAAAATATTATAAAGATACATAGAATATATCTTTTAGTAAAATTCAGCTATAGATATATATCTTTCACAAATTTGTATAAGAAAATAAGTTAAATTAAATTATTATTTTATTTTTAAGACACTATTCTTAGGCATTATAAGAGCTAAGTTATAATATGGCACAAATGCATAATCCTATGCATATCATCCCTAACATATAAGCTAGATCTCTTTTGATACTTGGATCTCGTTTGGTAGAACCAGGAAGATTATATATATTTTTCCATTTTACTGCCCATAATGGAATAGCAACATGGAGAATATCTGGGATCATAAATCCAAGATCACGTACAACCTATCATATAAAAATTACTAATCATTTAAAACTAATTAATACTAAATCTGTAATGTATTATATTCTCATATTACCTGATGGGCATACCCTTCTCCTCTGACAACATTAGCAACAAATTGATCCCAACCACCCGCTACAATATGTAAAATAGCTATTGCAGCTATACCAAATGCTTTTCTATGAGTTACTGGATTTTTATTATTTGCCAAGTGAACAACCAAAAAAGTAGACATCAACTCAGTGACAGAAAAAAACAATTGATGGTACCATTGAGAATAGAACTCATCATTCCAATAATTCATATAAACCCACCAAGTATAATAATGTGAAAATATAGCAGTTGAAAAAAGAACCATCATAGAAAGTCTAAGACGATTATGAAAAGCCAGCCATGTTAAATGTTTCACTACTTCATAGAAAATGATAACTCCAATTACAATTGTGATCCATATTTTTAAAGTATTTGATGTAGCATTAAAATACATATGTTTATAAGAAGCAATGCCAGATTCATATGATCCTGTAATAATATATTAATTCTTTTTGAAAACCAATTAAAAATAATTAAAATTTTTAATTATATCATAAAAATAAGATTAACTTACCCTTAAATACTGTGTCCCAACATGAACAAGAACAATATTGTTTATCTACATCTCTTGAATATTCTTGCCAAAAATAATACAAAAATGCAATATGTAATGGTGGTATTGTTAATGGTGCTAGTATTCCTAATGTTTTAGAACTGCATGATGCAAAATTTGCATAAAGCATGCGTTTTAATATCTTTGTGAAACCCATATGTGTAAATTTTTATTCACATTGAAACTCAATTATATAAAATAATATTTATTTATAATTGCCATTATTTTATTATTTAAATAATTTTTCTTTATGATTGATATTAAATGAATAAATTAGATAAGATTTACATTATTTAATTAATTTTTTAAAAATTATTATGACATGAAATAATATAAAAAAAATTGGCAATAATTCTTTGGCATATGTAGAAGTGAAATAAAATTATATTATAATCTGGCACTGTTTATCATAATATATTTCATTAATAGAATTCTATTCTAAAATTATAAATTTCTTAATCTTTTACATAATGAAGTATATATAAATACTTTCCTTTATCCAATTATAGGATGATTCTATAAATTGTATGCATTATTTATAGATCATATGCTGCAATATTAATTTCATTCATTTATATTTATTAATTTTTCTTATAAAAGTAGCAGCAATTAAACGAAATTAACAGCAATTAGACTAGTTATAAATATAATAATATATTCATAATACTGTTAATTTAATGAAGATTTTTTTTTCGTTTAATAATGAAATAATTTTATAAATTGGCATAGCTTTCAGTCGATATATTTGATTTCATAATCAGTCTTGTTGGTATTTATGTAAATCACATAATATTCGAATTTTTATCACTTGTTTATAATATTATATTTTAAAGTAAAACATGTCATATAAATTAATTTTTGATTAGATATTTGTAGCACTTCGAACATCGCATTTTATATTTCATTAAGACTCTACCTTTATATTCACATGACACTACGTAAAAAATATCAAAATTGGCACAAATATATTCAATGACAACTATAAAATAATATTTCCATTCTTACTTTTTATCGGTCTTATTAGACGGGAGGGCTTTGCCCCTCCGATACTATTTTCCACGCATGTGCAAATTCTGTTCCTATAGAAACATGTACTTGAAGACTTAAATAATTCCAATTTACTGAAGGTTATTAGGTTCATTGAATAATTATAATACAAATTTCAGAAACTCTTAAAATTTAAATACAAATCTTAAATCTGAATATTAATTCTGATAGAAAAAAGATCTAAGATAAGAACATTTTAGATATAATAAGATTGCTTCTATTTCTTATTTTTTTTTAAAAAAAAGCATACTAATTTTCTTTTTTTAAATAAAAAGCAATTTGAAATTGTTATCAAACTATCATCATTTTTTTTTTTACAGAGTTAAAGTTTTATAGTGAAGAATATTTTTTTAAAATATTTAAAAATTAACATGTTAAATTCTAATTCTTTTTTTTAAATAAATATTTGTAAATATATGATATATATCAAATACTTCATTATAATAATTATTTGAAATATGTTATTACAAGTTAATTTTTAATTATTTTTATTATATATAATAAATAAATGAATAAATAATAATAAATAAAGTTATTTAGATTAACAATGCAACTAACTAAATATTAAAGCTGTTTCTTGAGTGCGTAAATTTTATACAAGCAAATAGCATAAAAAATCAAGTAGAGGAAAAAAGACAGAGAACAAAAATATAGAAGCGCTATTCCCTAAGTATCGCAAATAAAATTCAATAGCAAATAATAGAAAAAGGATAGAAATAGAATAAGAATTGATTATTAACGCCATCTCTTGAGTCAAAGATATCTTTTAAAAAATAATAATAAAGAGTAAGAATTGAAGATCAGCGCCATATTCTTGAATTATTTTTAAAAAGATTATTTTTATCATTCAAGAGATGGCGTTAACGATCAATTTTTACTTTATCTTTATTCTTCTATTTTTATATTAAATTTCATATTTCATAATAAATATATTATACAATATTTTAGTTTTTCGCGCTACTTTTGTAAATAAAGAATCGTGTCGTTGCAGACAATTAATAATATTCTGTGAATGTGTGAATCTATATGCGTGAGATTCTTTTGAAATTACTTTTAAAATTAAAAATCAAAAATTAATGCATCATCTGTTCGAGTTATGTAGTTAAGTAATTCTATTTCTATTCCTATAGGATAATTTATAGTTTAATTCCATTTATTTAATAAATAATTAAACATTGTGATAATAAAATTAATTAAATTTCTTTATGTTTTTATCTTCTATTTCATTGTTGAGGTTACCGGTAGCTTGTATCACATTAGCTTTTCAATCAGAATTTCAATTATTGCTTTATTTAATATATAATAAATAAGTATAATTTTATATATTTATTTTACGATTTTTTGACTTTTATTTATCTAAATTATTAATTAATTGCTGGAATGATTTCGAAAGGATAATAATTTATATGCGCCACAATAATTTGTAACCAACGATTTTCGATATTTTAAATATTTTCTTTTTTTTCACAAAAATAGACGTATTTAAAATAGATTTCTATTGTCTTTTTATTCATATATAAAATATAATATGAAATTATATATAAACATATATATTTTATCGTAATTAAATTTATTTCATCAAATTACATTATATCAATGATATGATATATGATATTTTGTTTTTAAATTTTAATATTAATTTATATTTTTATCTTTTTTTCGCCTTCTTATGTTCAAGGCTGAAAATATTTCTTATCAACGTTTTCAAGAAATTGGAAGTTTGCAGCATGTCATGTTTGACATGTTTCGATTTGATGTTCTTGCTAATTTATGATTCGATAATCGAAATTGTGGCGCGAGATGTCATTGTATTATCGATAATCATAAGTTTATTTTAAGATTACGTTAAGTTTAAATGCGTCATTTTTTCTTAAGGTATGTGCTATGTAATATTATATGTAATTAAATCGTAATAACTTATAATTTATTGTTTGTATGCTAACATTCAATCAATATGTGTTTCTTATTATAATTAAAAATCCTTTTTGATTCTTAAATTATTCTATTATTTCATGTTATTATTTTTAAAATTTTTTATCTATTTTTAATATTAATTCATTATAGTATTTTTTTTACAATTTATTTATAAGAATTGTGCTTGATTATTATTTTATATTATAATTTATTAATTCTATATTCATATATTTATTTGGAAATCTTGATTTTTTTTTATTCAGATTATTAATTGATTGCTGGAATGATGGAAAGAAGGGAAAGATTTCAATATGAATACCATAACGATTTTTTTAGGTTAGGATTTTCAGGTATGTATAACATTGTATAACCTTCCCATTGTCAAAATCTCTCTCGCGTGTCCAGGTACGTGTTCTACTTGAATAAGAGAGAGGCGATAAGCATATAATTATAGTTGATAAGTTTATAATAATTTCTCAATGACAGGTCATAATTGTATATCGTACAAGAAATATTTTTCCATATTATATATATGTATAGTTAACTTCAAATGGAATTCCATTTCGATTATAAATTTAATTCACAATTATTAATTCAATTACAATTTACAAATATTAGATTTTTATTATTATTCTTTTTATTATTAAATTAAGTAATAATATCAAATTTTATATCATTTATCTCATATATAATTTCATTTTTTTAAAAAATGAATATGAATATATGAATTCTTGCTATCACGAATGTTGATAATTAGTTTAGATAATTTAAGATACAACTGTTAGCATGATTTACGCAATGATCGCTAGTCAATCGATTTTAGGAAAACATAAACGTAAACTTTAATATGCCTTTCGGCTATCGGAGATGATCCAAGTCGTTCCTCCAAGCTTTTTGCACTTTTGGAGTAACGTGTGAAAACCATGGAGTAAATATGCTAATGTATTTTTTTTTTGTTCAGTTTTTAAATGCATCATGTAAAATTAGATAGGACAGGCAGTATACTTTCTGATGTGTATATATCTGTGTATATATCATAAACAGATAGGAGCAGGTTGATACTAATTGGTAGATAAGCGCATTTTTGCGACTTCTGCTGTTTCTTCTGGAAATAAAATTCGAAGAATCGAGAGTGAAGTTTAGATGAAACTCAGACTCATTTTTTGGAATTTTTAGAATTGTGCTGAGATTCTGTATGTATATATGAACAATAATTATTAAAATCACATGCAATCGGTTTTGGCGATTTTTTTTTTTTTTTTTTGCGAGAAAATCTCGAATCTAGATTTGAGTTTTAGCGGACAATGCACTCGAAGGAAAAAAATGAAGAGGGCTTGACAAATTGTCGCGAAGAGGGTTGCAACAAATGGTTTCTCATCTTTTGATTCTAAAAATGAGAAATTATTTATTATGCTTGTTTAGTAACATATAATAATAATAGTAATAGTGGTAATAGTAATATAATAGTGGTAATGATGATGTAATAATACTAATAATACTATTTTTTTTATATCTGACCGATATATTTCGATTTATGATACAGTTATCATAATATGGACAAATTTTAATTATTTGGTGCAACAAATAAATTATAGTTTGAATTTACGTGAGATATCGTGATTTTCCCTTGATAATATCGATTTTCTATGAAATAAAATTTTTTAAAAAGTAATATAAAACATTTTTATGTTCATTTTAATTTAAATGTAAAATAATAAAGTTAAATTAGTTTCTAATTTATTTGAATTTTTGTTGAATTCATTTTAAAAGTTAGGTTATTTTAAGAAAAAGAAAAAGAAAAAGAATAATTGTTTTTATTATTAATAAATAAATATTTGATGAATAAATTAATATTAAATAAAACGTAATCTAATTAATAGCAGTTTATGAGATTTATTTTTTATTTAAATATTATTGTTCTATGAATTTTCAAATGTCGCAAGATATGGTCTTTCTAAAGTAGGACATAAAAATTTCTCGAATGGTGGAAGCCATTCATCGTTTGTTTTGTTACCAACTGGTTGTAACAGATTGTTCCATAGAGTATTTGCCGCTTAAAATACAAAAAACCGTTGTCTTTTATTGCAACAATATAAAATATTATATTTTCGTTCAAAAATTTAGAAGCAGTTTTTTTATTATTTTAAAATATTATTTTAAAATATTTTATTTCGTAAATATTAATTAAGCATTAACTTTTAATAAATTTAATACATGATTAATATTAATATTTTTATTATTGAATAAATTCTTATTGCTTCCAAAGTTTTGGATGAAATAGTATATAAAATTATACTTACATTGTGCATTACCTAATTGACTTATATGAAAGCAATCAGTAGAAAAATATCGGTGAACTTCGGGCACTCCATTATTATTCAACGGTAATTTAACATTTTTAATACCTGGTAAAGATATTACGGTAAAGTCATTTGTATGAAATTCCGGATATTTAGAAATTTCTTCGTCTATTTCTTGCCATCTAAAAAAATAATCTAAAATAAAATACCATCGTACCAAACGAGATTATTTTTCATAAATTGTTTAACTAAGAAATAATATCATGTGAAAAATAAAATAATACAAATAAAAGAAATTAAGAATTTAAAGATATTATTCTGTATAATTATCTAAACAATTTTTTTAAACGTTTAATATTTAAATTTCTAGAATTAAACAAATTAAACAAACCTGTCCATTATTTTAAAATATTCCTCTCTTTGACTTTTGTATCGCAAAGAGAACAAACATGAACAAAATATGGTTCTCGTCGCATAGCAAATAAACGAGTTTGTTGCATTGTGCGTATTAACAATTTCCCTTAAGTGAGTAGGAATTATGAGACCGATAAAAGTACGTGGTAAATTGTCTCTTAATATTCGGAGAGTTTTAAGCAGATCTTTTTTATGATTTTCCAAAGTGGACCATGGGGAACGAAGTACACACAAATCCGTACAAATGTCGTTGAATCCAATGAGAATAAAAATCATCTGAAATAAATAGAAACATGATATATAATTCAAATACGATATTAACTTATTTTAATTTTAAATATTTATTTCATTAATCTCTGATATTTGTATAATTTTCATTATTATTAGACTTTAAATGATCAACTCTCTTATCCATCCTCGTGTACTTCTATAATTTTATTTATAATACATACCTTCCAATGTTTCTCTATATTTATTCTTTTGTCATTTTTTATTCTATTGACTAGAAATTTCGCCATGAAAGGCATGTCTCTGGACATCGCACCAACCTCGGCTACATCTAATTGCGAAGCTGAATCAGTAGTTAGAGAATCTCCAAGTGAATAGCCCATTAAGTTAGGATTAAATTCCTATTCATAAGAAAATATATCTTGTCAGAAGAATATTCGGATTTTTCCCTTAATGTATTTAATTATTAGATTGTTATTATTTATAATGAACGTGCTTTGAGGATATTGGGGATCGTCAAATATTTTCGCCAATTTTTTTCACCCCCTATAATTGCCATCACACCCCTATTCTCAATATATAGCTCTAGCAAATTGGTTGCAAAAATTCCCATTCCGCTCGTCAAAGAATCGCCCAACGCAGCAATAACATCTATGTCTCCTGGTCTCAAACGATGAATTGAATCAGGAACAGTAGGAGATCTAGTACCTACAAATATTCGATTTTAGAAAATTAAATTGTTATAACCAGTGAATGATATTCGAGAGTACGATTTTATGATAATAATAATTTGTTTAATTACCTGTCAAATTGCAAGGAAATGGAACGTTTGCTGGAACTTCTTTTTGAATTTTATTTGTATATTGTATTGTAACTCTTTCTTCTTCACCTTTCATGTAAACAAACGTGATCAAAATTATTGATCGACATTCAAATTATTATATTCAATTATTCAAATTATATTCAAATTGACATTCAATTTATTGATTATTTTTACTTGTACAATTTAGTTTGAATATTTTCACAAATAAATAAAAATTATCGTTAATTATTTAATCTTCGATATAATATTAAAAAAAAATTTTAATTTAGTTTGGAAATATTGCACAAATTATTTTTCTAATTCTTTTTTCATTTTTAAATAATAATGCTTCATAAATATTTACTTTATTTTACAAATTGTCAAATCACTTTGATTCATTAAAATTACACGTTACTATGCTAAATAATAAAATTAATACATACCAAATGTTTGGAAGATCCAATTACGAACGAAACGAACTATTGATCGTATATCTGGACTGTCCAAAATAGTCCTTTGAGCCACGGTTAACACGAATAATTGTAACAAAAAGCACAAAAATAACTTGTTCATTTTGTGTTTTATTAATTTGATAATTGAAGATCGTATCGTCTCTCTAATA